AATTGGTAAAAAAACATTTTCGTAAAATTTTTACATAATATTTAATAAAAATCTGTTATTGTTCTATCTGGGAGACAATGCGCGTTTCTCTCCAGAGGGCAGAGGAAAATTTTAAGTAAGGTAAAATATAAAAAAACACTTGAAGTTAAACAGCACTTATGTTCAATAATACGAAAGTATTACAGTGATTACAAAATTAAAAGCCATTTTTGAAGTATCTAATTTTTATTTGCAATTTTTCATATTTGGTGTTACGAGTTCTTCAACCAACTTCTGAACCAATGAGATTGCTAGTTTGACTTTCAAGAATCACACTGAAATTCATTGAACATGCATTTGTATCTGTCTGTAAATTTATATTTGCATTTTTTCTAATATCAAGAATTTAAAAATTGTAAAATCGATTTTATTACGAAACCTGCTCGAACAAAATAGAGATTTACGAGATCTTGTTACTTGCTTTTGAAAAGTGTAACTACAACTGTAATATAATGACTATGATTTGACACTCTTTCAAAAGTCATAATGATGTTTATTATCGCACTAGTGCTTTTTTCAATTTATTACCGCACTAGTACGCTAATAAACATGTCTATTATTGTCAACATTGTGTCTTAAAATATTAAATTTTAGAATAAGTTCAAGCGATGAGTACGAGGTATTAGATATCTGATATTGAGAACGAAGTTTTTAATGTTGTTCTGGATCTTGTGCCAGATAAATCACGGAAGAAATAAATTCCAAGAAGTTTTGATCGGTACCAGAAATGGTGCAGTAAGCGAAAGATCGAAGATGAAGAAAGAACACACACAAAGAACATCGAGTACCAAAGGGATGAGGGTTTATGTACTTTGTTTACTTTGTTTAAAATCTACTAACATCTAGTCCTTTCTCGCTTGTTAAGTTGAGTATCTTTCGTTCACTGCCCCATTTCTGGTACCGATCAAAAGCTGCTTCGTTTTTTGGTTTTTCTGGCACTAGATCTTTCTGGGTCTAGTCTAGTCTAGTCTAGAACTCATTATAAAATGGGTACTTTTAGAACGCAACTTTGACAATGTTCTGACGACACTGACAAATTATCATTACCTGGGTTCTGTATTCAATTTTATAACTAATTATTTTTATTCAAATAATTGTTATAGTTGTAAATGAAATACTGTACGTATCACGTAGGATATTATATAATTAACGTCCCTTATGTGATTACAGAACTCGGCTTAGAGCCTCGGCGTGCAAATCTTCACATGCGTGTAATAATAATATTCATATCCTACTGATAACGTAAATAACTATTATAATCTGGACACAAAACATGTACAGACTTGAGTCAGTTCATAGTAGTAGGACTTTAAGGGTCGATAGAAGAAAGAGAGATAAATTCTTAGATGAAAATATCATACAAACGTACATTGAAAACCGCTTCGTTTTTTTATGTACAGGGTGGCAAAGTTAACATTTTATTTTAATTTTTTAGAAATGATTCACGCAAATATTAAGAGGATGTGAAAAGAAGTGCAATAAAATTTTAAATTCTAGGATCTATCGCAATACTACATCCAATCCTGTCCACGCTTTCGTCAAATTTTCAGAGGGTGCCACATGGCATTCATATTTAATTTTTAAATAACTTATTTCAGCCTACCCGTATCAACCTCATTTTAAAATACAATAATTTTCCGTTAATATTTACGTAAGACAGGTATTTTTTCAAAAAACAGTTTATTTGCAAGTGAATCACAAACAAAATACAAACTCAAGTTAATCAATTTTTTATTTGTAAAGTAATTTTTCCATAATTCGATGTGGCATTGCGATAAGTCCCAGAATATATCTATAATTTAATTACAGTTATCTTAAGATTTGCGTGAATTATAAAAAAATTGAAACAAAATGTTTACTTTTCCACCTTGTACCTCAAAAACGAAGCCGTTTTAAATATATGTTTGTATGATATATTCATCTTAAAATTAGATATATCTATCGATCGTTAAATTCCTGCTACTATAAGCTGACTCACCCTGTATAGTGACAAATATAATATTTCGATTTAAGAAACGGTGGCTTTTTAAACATTTGCTTACGTACTCAAAATAGTTTCGCAACTTAACTAGTTACTCTTTTAGAATTTTTCTCTATGTGTATTAAATCAAATTTATGATGTGATTTTAGCTCTGCATCTAAATCTTTCTAAGCTACCTTCCAAATTCCAAACAACTGAAATAGGTTTTAACATTACAAATAAAAATGTTTAAATTAATAACACATTGCAGTTTTAGGGGAAACTAGGGAGACACAGAACGTGAAATATTGAACACCTATCGTTGTAACTAATAGAGCGATATAATGCCAATCCATTGCCTTCAGGGACACAAAGAGTGGATTTATGGTGGTAAAATAGCTGATATTGCAATTTTCAAAGAACATGATCTAATGTGTCTTTTATTGGATAAGTTGCAAAGCAAGTTACGAGTATAAAATTTTGCGCTATATCTTAATTCCATGTAGGTATAATCCATTTCTAAAACTTACTATAAACGACTTTTATAAAAATTAATTATTAATTATTTGTAAATGAAAGAAAAAAGATGCAACATTTATGAAGCTTTTAAATTATTAGAAATACGGTTTTGCATTAATCAGTTGGGCCTTCTCAGGAATTACCATGATTGAGTAAACCTTAAGTGAATTATTCTTGCTTGTGCCAGCTAGCTCTATTTCTTTTACAGTTTTAAGTTAATTATTTTAAAAAACGAATTATCTGAAACATATATTTTGCATTAGTGGTTTGATCATTTTAGTTATATCGGCTGATTTTAAACTGGTGTCTTGCTCTCGAGGCAGAGATCAGAAAAAATAAAAAACCATTAGTTTTAATAAAAACTGAGATTTTGCAGAAAAGCTAAATGAATAACTGTTGCGCCGTGCTTTCGATTCACACTCGCAAACTTCTTTTTTTTATTCGTTTTTTTGCCTAAAAACGTTTTGATTTGTGCGTAAATCGACAAACGTAACAGATGAAAAAACGACATCATTTTACTAAATGGACTAACTTTGTTACACTAATCAGTTCCGAAGAGTTGTTTTCAAGTTCATGTTTCAAAGTTAATTTGTGAACAACCATTAAACCAGTTGTAAACGTGTCTATCCATAATTGATAACAAAACTGTTCAACTTCAACAGACATGTCTATTGGTAATCGACCACAGAACTACTTGAGAAGTAAAATTACGATCGTCTAAAGTAGACACGTTTATTGATGTTAAATTTTCCAAACAGAGAAATAGAAGAATTTTAAAAATTTATTTTGGTAGTTGGTAATACAAGAACATGTTTAATTAATGAAAAATAATCTACTTGTTGCAGAATTTACAAATTATATTAATGCGACTTTCAGTAAACCATTTCGTCTTACTTTGCTAAAGAGATATTTAGTTAGGCTAAATGAGACTTCTAATTCCAGTTTAAACATTAATTGATGTCGATTTACGGTAACTGATATAAATGGGTTAAAGTAAAACACAATTTTCTTGGCCAAAGCAAATTCATTAATCAACCATTTGCTCACTTTAACGTTCACTGTTCCTTCTCTTTAGGTGACTGGGAATCGGACGTACAGAGCTGTGGAAGTTATTAACAGAGTCGAACACAGTAAAATTCAATATTAAACAGACATATAAGAACACGATAATGTAGGTTTAAATATTAATTAACTGAACACAGTCAAATTGTTTTAATCATTTTGTTTGTTGTTATTGCCTTTTCAGGGCTTTTGGCTTTTGACGGTGTTAATATTTTATATAGTCTAAGCCTAAATAAACTTTGATTACAGTGAATTTAAATTTAATTTTGTCCACAGGGCTAATACGTAAACATTATATTTAATTCTTTCAGTGAAGCGGCATTATCCGCATTTAGAGAATATTGAAGAAATTAAAATTAATCTGAATATTTATTTTAACTATTTAAGCTTTAGAGCAGCGAACGGATAAAACTGCTTTTGGTCAGTTTCATGCAATTTTATAAGCTTTTGCTATATGATCGTCTAAAGCTTAAGTACTTTTGGAACTGACCAACAAGTTTAATTGTGAAAGTTTACATGCGAATTGGAATCTAGCAATTTTGAATGAAAAAGTCGTCTAAACTCTGAGATAATAAACCAAAAAATCTATGTCCATGTACTTTAAGTCCAAACATCTATAATCACGCGAAGATATTTTTTCGCTGAAACCAAAGTTTTAAACATAACGTATTTTGAGAAACTTCTGGTGAAGCAAAATTAAATTACATATACATAGAAATTGTTTCGTGGGAAGTTTGAAGCTGGGCATGCAACTTCCTAATTATGACGGAGACTTTGTGTGCCACAAACGTTTAATGAAGATTAATTTTCGTAAAACATTAGTGCTGCTGTTATTAGGTTATTATGAAAGAACAATATTTTGGCGTATTCCAAATTTAAGATAAAAACACGTGGAGATAAACGAATAAAGTTTCTAACAAATCTGCATCAATTTGTAATTGTACCTAAATATATATCTTGTTTATCAAATTGTATATGAGGGATTGTATTGTGGGCGTCTATACCGAGCACCATAATCTGCACGTTGACGAACAGACCGAAAGTTGAGGAATTCAGACCCACTTCACGAACTTTGTGAATAGTTTAAAATGATACAATGGTTTTATTTTGAATTTAAAATGCTTAAAATAATGTGATTTTACAGCGCGGTTAAATACTTGCATCTTAATAAAAGATATTCCCAAAATTCGTTTGTTAGTACCATAACTTTCATTATAATAATGAAGTTATCTGGAGAACCAACGAGTTGTACTTGTAAAGCCAAACAAACACGTAATTATCAGTTTAGATGGATTTTTCCCATTTTTCCTTTTAAATCGCAGGTAAATAAGTTGATCTGGTAACACTGCAATGGAAATCTAAACGATGTTAACCAAGTTGTTTCATTTCCAAGTAAATTGTAAATTATTTATTCTTGTAGAAGCTCATCGTGCATTGGAGTTACTGGAAGATTACCACTCAAAATTGGTTCGTCCGCAGGATCAAACTTTGAGGCAGGCCATCGAACGGGTTATTAAGATCTTCAAGTCTCGACTCTTCCAAGCATTATTAGGTAAGTCACAAATATGAGCACCATCTGAAAAAGATTTTCGTTCTCAAGTGTCAACAAGTGAAAGCAGTAAATAAGACCATGAATTTTATATCAAAGGTAAATTAGACTTTATGGAAATACTTCGCAAACGTCCATAATTGAAATACAGTCTTCTATCAAAATATCTTGAAATCTTATTGGGAAACTGACAAATTTTGATGAATACACACATACCTATAGACTTTACTACGAGCATTTAAAAAAGATACGGGCAATTTTTTAAATATAAGTACATATACTGAAAAACTGAAAATATTGAATTTGAGTATTGAAATATTGAAAAGAAAAGTACTTAACTATATTATATTGCTATAAAGCTCTAAAATAATGCCGAATTTCATCTTCTTTTATTAGGTTTTGTAAATAAAATTCCGATGCAGCTAACTTTTTCAATTTAATTGAGTTTTGCAAGGTTTATCTTGCCATTAAACTTTTTTTATTTGTTACTAATTTTATTAGTTCGTGGTGGTGGTAGAACAGAGATTCAATAGAAATCTAGCACCGTTGGGAAAATTGAATTCCTGAAATCGAAAATCCCCGATTTCAAAACTGTGTGGCGGTACCGGAACCAATTAAGAAGCAACACAAAGTTATTGGAAATTAAATTTATACTTTGACACTCTGTATATCGAGCACAATGGTCCTAATTGAAAATAATGCGCGTATTCTTCTATGCGGCCATTTTTACAAATATGAGCTGTATAAATGGTGAGAACATCACTTGAAGAACCTGATTAACATAATTCCAAAAAACAAGTGTTGAAAAGTTTCAAGTTTCACCGCATTTAGTGCCACATTTTCTACGTGTTACGTGTTCTTCGTTTATCGCTATGTCTTCCATATGTGCGCTTTGCTCCCTGATTTAGCTTCTGATTTGATCTCAGCTCTACTACCTAGGTAGCAACCTCACGTAAATTTGACGTCATCATTTGATCATCATTAGTTAGCATTGACAGTAAATGACGAATTTTGATCACATGATTTTAGTTATTTTGATGACGTATATTCACGATATTTTGACGTCATAATCACGATATTTTAAGGACATAATCACTTTTTGATTTTATTTATACAGGTGGGTACCGCATGCTTACATTTACCTACTTATTCTGCAATTATTTAGGCTTTAATAGTACAGGGGTTTGCACTTATGAAAGTTATGCGATCATGTTTGTTAGTATATGGACAATTATGACTTCAGAACCTGCAAGATACTTAATAAACTTGGCATATTTTTGATTGATTAAATATTATTAACTGTTAAAAATGTTACAAGTAATTGGTGTTAAAAGTTAGTTGTGTGTTTATCTATAAACTTGATAATGACTGTGTCATTGCACCTTAATATCAATTTGGAAGTTCTTGTAACTACTCTAAATATTAGAGCGTCTGGTAAAGTTATTTACCGGCAAACTTGTAATTCCAGAACATTGAATAAACTGTTGCATACTCTTGGCCCGATTAGCAAAGAACAAAACGTGTTGCTTAACACTTTACATAAAAGTGTTCACAGAGCTTCTCATTAAAAAAGCGCATATTTACGATCTAACAGCGTCATAAAAAGCGGCTTATATTACAAGTAGTCAAATTAGTTAAATTATTGCTTTTTACTCTATAATAATAGTTTCTATTATCACGGATTTATATATTATTTTGTCTATCTACTACGATCAATATATACGTCAGACGGACGTTGGTGTCACACATAGAAATGGCTATTAAGCATCATTGTATGTAGGTATCATTTCGAACAAAAATAATCGAAATTCAACAAGTTGAAAATTTTGTTATTCCTTCTAAAATTTCCGCTGTATCGCTTTAGTTATTAAATATGAAATGAGTGAAAATGGCATGTCTTTAAAACGTGTATTGGCGGACTTATGCTGAAGCGACGGAATCTGGAGACGCCCTCAAAAGGCCGTGGCAAGTTTCCAAATTTATAATAACATTGAAATTTGGCAAAGTTCCGCTCATCATTGCACAGATGCATTCCGTAACAATTTTTGCAATGTAAACTGTATAAACTTCCATGTGCTATGCATTTTCAATAGACATTTTTTTGCATTTTGTTATGATTTTGTGATGAATAGACTTTTTGTAATAATAATTCTGTAAATAGACCTAATTTTAATTAATATTCGGGTTAGAATCCGGATCAATTCAGACCCGGATGGTAAATGCCTGTAGCGGATAAATGGGAATTATTAAACTGGACCTTATTATTACTAGTTTCCTTGACTAGAAATCGATCGGAAATTTTGCAATAATATCAATAAACATTGTTATAACAGTGTGTGTGTAGAAATTAAAATAGCGTAATATTAATATGAATCTTGGCAAGGAGATTTATTAAATGTGTAATATTAAAATTGTTGTAATCGTACAGTGATTGTTTTTTCAAATGGGAAATAGACAGTTAATTGAAATTCGTGAGTTTTCCGGGCTGTTACGTCTTTCAAGGGATTCTCTATCTGACGTTTTGCAAGGACTATTAAGTTCTATCTTTAGTTGTTTTTGCGCTCCAAAGCTTGCACTGGACTGATGAGTATGAGTATCAGCTTTCGAGCTAAAACACCTCTGGAGATGTACATAAATCGTGCTTGCGTAACGTCAGGAAGATACTATTTTCCACGACGGCCAGAAAGCCAGAAAAACTCACCAGTTTCAAGCATTAGCAAAGTCAACACAAACAGCAAAGCAATGCTTTCAATATAATTTTATCGATTAATGTAAAAGTTTGCTTATTAAAAACAATTTATTTCCAAATTAATACAAACAATAGATTTTAGTTGTAACCGAACCTTAATTATGACTTATGACTCTTAGACCGTAAATCTTAATACTACTATATTTAGATTGATACTATCTGATACTCAATTTTTATGAACTTTTTACTGAACGTTCGTTCCTGCTGTGTGTTTTATTGTTAAATCATGCTGATCCTAGCAGAAACGTTACGGCGTCTTATTTTATAAGAATAGTAGGCATAAGTGGCCATATACTTATGTCTAATACTAGCTGACCCGGCAAACGTTGTTTTGCCATATAAAACATTTCTGGTATGGTTTGGAGTATGGTACCTAACTGTGACACGAACATTTCATATATTAAATATAGGAGAAATAAACTCAACTTTTCGACATTGATCCTATCTTATGCAAGTGAGCCCCACTAACCTTTAATTTTGTTTTTTTTCATTTTATTTATTTAAACATATGATGATAGAAGTCTAATATTTTTATTCTATTTAAATATATGTTTATGGAAGTCTGATGTTTGCGAAAGTGCAGGAAACGTACACCTATTAGTAAGTCTAATCTAAAATTATGTTTCGAGATTCAATATAAATGTAGAGAATTCATGCGCTTCAATTTGTCCCCAATTTCAGATCATCTCAAATGCCGTAAGCTTTAATTAAATCGCTTCATTGGTTCTGATTCGATAACCGGATATATGCTGATATGTACATAAAAGATTTGATTACACATATACAATTTTACTCTTTGGAATGAGTATTTATGAACTAACAAACCTTTGTTTTATTGTACATCGGGTATTCATAAAACCAATCGTCTTAGATGTCGTATAATTTATTATGTATTCCGTGTTGTATAACAAAAATAACTCCGTTATTAATACTAATTTATTTAATTATTAAAGTATCAGATTTTAAAACATGTGAAAACGATTTTGCAGTATCAATCCGAGTGCTTTATTAGGCTATAATTAAGGCCTCGGATGAAAGGGAAAGGCAGTAGAACGCCAGACATGGAGACCTCGATCGGAATGCGATTCGGAAATTAACGTCCTATATGCTGTTTACAAAGGTCTCTATTGTGAAGTTTTTCGACAATTATATTATATTATTTATAGTATTTTACTGACGTTATATACAGGGTAAGTGATTTTAGAGGACTAGTACAGGGATCTTGGAAACTACAGCAGATACGACAAAAGGTTAAATGGACAGAAAATTGCAGTTTTGAATGCTCTGAACGGAATGAAGTTAGCCATGGCAAATAGTATAAGGCATACAGCATTGTTTCAATAGTAGCAAATAATATTAATATGCTTCAATATTTATTTCGACAACTACATCAAATTGACAATAACATCAATTAATTACAATTATTATTAATGCAAATATTGCAACGGTTTAAAACTGAATAAATTTCTCTAGCAGCTTCTTTAAGTTCATTTAAATTATCAAACTTTACTTTCTTAAAATCTTTTTACGTGAACTGAAAAACTCAAAGATCCGGTGATCGGGGTGGCCATAAAATAGGTCCGTTTCTTCGAATCCATGCACCAAGAAATTTTTCGTCCAGGTGATTCTGCCCTCGGAAAAAAATATGCGGAGGGGTGCCATTGTGTTATGAGCAACTTAATCCTCCAACATAATATCCAGATCATTCCTAAAGAACTGAATATAGCGACTTCCACTTAAGGTGCCATAAAAAAATAAATGGACCATTCAGCACCAAACGAACAATACAAATTTAATTTGTGGTTTGCTTTGCTCAACGTGGTAGGGATTTGTTTAATTGCAAAGATGTTCATTGTGTCGATTAAACATAAGTACCACAATTTGTCAATTGTGTTTTATTGGTGCACGAATATTATGTTAGACAATTGGGATACTGATAATTTTTACGGGTGGAATTTGTGTTTTTTTAGGAACTAACGGAACTATTAGATTTGCGATTTTATCAATCGTTTTCAATTTTTTAGACGCTTATAAATACTGTTTTTGAGACATTTTAAGTAAGGCGCTAAAAGTGCGCGAGTACCAGGCTAAATTTGGTCAGGGGCGCCTGGAACCAATGGGGTGATATCTAAAATACAACCCCCACTGATTTAAACGTCCCTCTTGATATCTAAATTTGACGTGTATTTTACTTAGAATATTTTATTTTGCTACAAAAATATCCGAGATGGTAAGTTTTGAAATTAATGCTCGGTAGGTACAGTTCCTTCTTAGACTTTACCAAGCGCTTTCGTTCTACTCCTCACTATCCACACATAAGCAATTTTTCGAATACGCGATAATATTTCGAATGAAAGCGGAATTAATAAAAATAAACCAAAATGTATTTCAATAAAGTGTATTAAGCAATTTCATAACAAACAAACTCAACAAAAACTATGAAACTAAGTCAGACTAGAACAGGTAACAAAAATGGATGTCTTGAAAAATTGAGCGCATTACCATCCGCCGCCGCTAGACCAGCCATTAGACCAGCCTCCATGCCCTTGATTCCTCAAAGTAACGTATCCACCTTGAGCGTGCACTCCAACTGGTCCAGTTGAGTGGACTCCTACCGGCACCGGTATTTTAACTGCAACCTTAACAGGCACATGAACTGGGTATGGTCTGGCAATCACCACGGGATAAGGCCTTGGAACTCTAACGTGTACGGGTGTGGGGATTTTGTGGTAAACTGGAGTTTTTACTGGAACGGGCACTTGTCGGGGTACTGGAACCGGTACTGGTCTTCTCACTTCAACTTGCACTGGAGTGGGTACTTCTACTCTTACAGGTCGAGGAACGTCTACGTGTCTGGGTACTGGTACTGGAACGGGATATGGTCTGTCCACGTTGACTGGAACTGGAACGGGTTGTGGTACGAGGACTCGTTCGTACCGATGATCATAAGTAGTACCAGCATCGTTTAGTGGACCATGGTTTTGAAGATCTCCACCACCAGATATTCCTATGGCAGCGCCACCCACAATTGCATTTCCTGAGACGATTGGCCCACTAGCAAATGCTCCCCCGCCTCCTACTATTCCCGAACCAGCTCCGAATCCGCTATTTGAGGCAAAACCGCCTCCTACTGCATATCCGCCGCCTGATGACACTCCTCCACTGGATGCGTAATCAACACCTGATGCCACTCCTCCACTGGATGCATATCCAACACCGGATGCATATCCAGCACCTGATGCATATCCTCCACCTGATGCATATCCTCCAATTGATGAATATCCACTACTTATAGCAGGGCCTTCGATAACTGATGGAGCGGGAACAGAATGGGCTTCAAAGCCGCCACCTAATGAACCGGAGGATGAGTACGATTCTACTCCATGTGATTCAATTGCTGGTTGTAGGTTGGCACCCAAAGGAATGCTGGGTGCGCCATCTCCATATCCAGTGCTGAACTGCAGACCAGCAGATGGAGGACTGAGGTCGCCATGTATGTCTCCGTTTAAAAATCCGCAGTTTGCTACTGTAGCTGCGGCTAGAACAACGTAGAGTTTCTGCAAAAAAAATTGTTTAAAATATGCCATTCGCCTCACAAGCGATTGTATAAAAGCGACGAAAATAATTGTACGGCAGATGTTTTATTGTGACTTTCATATCAGCATATCTCACAAAAGTATTCGGGCAATTTTGACCGCGCCCTGAATAAGAAACGAAATTTCTTTGGGCGATTTATAGCGCATTTGACCTTATTTTATAGGACCAATACTTTAAGGCATCAAGAAACGCCTTCGCTGAGAAAACGGTTTTAACTTGCAGTTGCATCATTTTGCCGAAATTCAGAGGTAAACGCGGAAACGATTCGATGGGACTAATTCTTTTTGATCAAAAGACGACTCGCTTGAAAATGTCAGCTTACCGAAAGAAAGTACAAAATTTATTGCATTGAGGTTGCACATAATATACGCTCTAGACACATTAGAATATTTCTCATTTGAATTTAATAATTAATTCGATTTTGAATAGAAGAGAGTTAATAAATATGACAAACATATGAAAACGGGACACGTCATTATTGCTTTATAGAGCCTAAACGAGATACTAAATGAGCAAAACAAGTATTTTAAAGGGATATTAATAGTACATTTTGTTTTTTTACAAATGTTTATTATTTATGCCTTCTGTTTTACCATATTATCAACACGCTTTCTATTTTGATTTTAATGGGTTAATGATAGATAATATATTAAACTCATCTCTCAAGAAGTTGAAACTTTAATATTAACTAGATATMTGTTTTTGATAATTCTAAATGATTATTTTTGAGGCAATTCGGTGCATTCGGTTAATAGAATATGATTAACTTTTGTATTTCTGTTTATTAATTCAGATTTTGTTCAATTTAAATAAATTGCTGTAATGGAGAACAAATGCCAGTATCTAAATAAGCTTTGTTCCGCTTCTGTCGTCTCATTAAAACAACGAGAACATTCAAATTGTTAACAGCAGAAAATGTGTTGATATTTACATTACTTGTTCAGTGATAATTTAAAAAAGTGCTGCAATTTTAGAGGCAAATGAAATAGAAACTTGCACGTTTTTCTAACCGGAGAAAATTTAATTTGCTTTAAAGTTTGCTCTGGTCAGATAATCGGAAATACTCGTGAACTTGTAAACATTATAACTGAGTCATTGTCCTTGAGGAGTTGAGATACAAGGCAAATGTATTATAATCACGTAATGCAAGCTGATATGCTATTCTATTAAGTTATTAGTTATGCTAATCTAAGTAAGTTTAATTAAGTACAAATTAAATTAGTAAAGTCGTCACTATAAAATCTTGGTAAACACTATTAACTTTACTAATTGAGTTTCAAAATAGGTTCAAAATAAAAATAAATTTTTACCCTTAACTTACTTAAACCTTAAATCGAGACTAAAAACGATACTTACACCCAGCATTTTAAAAATGTCACATATATGGAAGTGAAAGATGAACTGATTCAGATGAGACAAGGCCGACGATTTTATAAGGAACCACACCTCTTCGGGCTAAATTTGCCACTTTCTCGACTTATTACAAAATTTATGAGATGATACAAGATGGTCCTCAACGTTAAATTTTGCATTTAGGTAAAGTCGGCTTCTTTGCCTTGATACCGCGTGAAATAGTTAAATGTTATTATAATTATGACACAGGATGTTTTAAAGGAAAAATCAGTAGTAACTTTTATCATTTGAAACCGTCTGCTAAGTTGCATTTAGCAGATATTTGAAAAAATATCTTAATTCGAGTTTTTATGAAGTGGCTCGTATTTTTGCGAAATTAAATTGTTTGAAAAAATAATGGTTTAACCGTTCGCAAAAGCACAAAAAGATTATTAGAGAGAAAGACTCAAAGTGACCTTAAATGAGAAATATTCGAGTTTCAAGATATTTTAAATTTCTTACTTTATTGTCAACTTACTTTTAGTGTCAAATGTTTTTGCTTATAATTTTAATTATCTGGGGCATTCCGATTATTCATTAATACCAATACGAATATTAAAAACTTTCACCTAAAATATTCAGATAGAAAACTGTTAATTCAGTGTTTTCTCTGTTTTAAGCGGAAACGTAGAAAATATCGGATTAGCAGTTGAAAAAATGCATGATTGTGATAAAGAAACCGACTATCAAATTATGAAACCATGCCATAAAATTTACATCATAAAATATGCTTTTCTCAGTTTCACTTATTAATGTAAATGTGTTTTGGCCGATTAGCATTGAGCTAGAAACAAGATTAAAACTGCATATGCATTGAATTTGCCATGCCATTATTTCCAAACTCCCACACGTTTGTACTTATTTTAATATTAAATTTTGCTAGTTGACGTGAAATGATAATAATAAACCCTTCCTACTTCAGAACATTCTGAGAAAATATTGATTATAATATTATTTGCTTTTTAATCTTAACTATACATGCAAATTAAAATCCCTTAACACCTAGATTAAGTAAGAAAACAGCGTCAAGAATTTATGCCTTTTATTTCATTGCATTGTATAGCATTCTGTGGCATTGCTTGGCGTGTTTAAGAAGGCAAGAAAAGAGAAAGACGACTTTTAGGAAAACTTTCGCTGAAATTCAGTGCAAACTTACGCGCTTTTAGAGGATCTAAATTGTTGTTACCAGACATTTCCTTGAAAATATTCATAATCTATAAATCATTTTCCATTCTAGTTTATGTAGATGCATTAAATGTTTGATTGTGTGGGTTGTGAAGTTGATAATTTTAATTGTATGCTTTTTAGAAAACTTTAGTCTGAGATGTTGAAAAGGGTTCCTTACTTTGATGATGTAATACTCGACTTACTCGATAACGATTCGTCTTACCTTGCGAAACAGTAATAAATTAAATAAAGTAATTTTTTTACAAATCACCATCACATTGTACAAACATCATTAAACTTACGAAAAAGACGTAATTAGTAAAATGCTAGATGTAATTTCAATTTTGTTGTGTATGATATAGCAAGGTATTTTTATTACATTTTTTTTATATTTTAAAAATTTCTGGCCTGTCGTAAATCAATAAATCCAAAAAAATATATTCTCAAAATGAAAACGAGTTTTATGATAATTTTCCTCAGAAAAATCCAAATCACATGATTTTGTTCTCTCAAATTTAAAAAAAGCGGTTGGAAATTAAATAGTTTTATTCGGTTTGTTCCCATACATTGTTTAGTTAAATATTTTCTGGTTCCATCCTGATGATGGAAACCTGCTTTTTAAAATATAAATTAGAAAAGAACCGTGCGCCAAAATTTATAAAAATAAACAATGATTTTATTTGCTGATTTCCAGTTTTTTTGATGAATTTCAATATGGCAATTGTACACCGCAAAATATAAAACACGCATAAAATATCAGTAAATCTCCTAAAAGTGCGTGATTAAAAACTCTAGCTTATAAACTAAACTCTAACTGTTAATCTATTTAACATAGTCCAAATAAAAGATGAAGTAAGAATATACAAATTGCAATATTTTGTTGAAGTTTCGAACTAAGGAAAGAAATGTTCTTATAATAATCATTTTTGTTGTTATTTTTTGCGTCTTGTCGCATTAAATCACGGTGTGCCTAATCTATCGCTTGCCCAAAATCAACATAATTATTGTTTGCTTTCTTCTGAAGCAAATCGTTTAATGGATGGATGTCTATACGTCGACAATTATTTGTAGTGAGGTAATTTCCACCCATCGCAAAATCCTGAGTGCTTAAGAATACAGTAGTACATTCTTTATTTTCGTTGCTAGTTCATTTAAAATTCGAACTTTCTTTCAGACGCTGTATAATGAAAATAAATCACGTATTATGCATATAAAATATGTCATGAAAAATCTATTATTTTTGCTCCCTGTTCTTGAGATTTGATGGACTGCTCTATTTGAGGACACCCGATATTCTAAATCAAATCTTTTAATTTGTCTGACAGTAATTATTTCAAAAATGTTTATATGTTAATTAACTGAATTAGTTAAATTCAGACTGCATCAGAAACTGGTCGTTTTTATATGTTTTAAGGAGCTGAAATATTGATAGTCGAATTAGGGTTTCCATGGGGGAAAAATGTGAAAATGTGAAATTGGGCAAATTTAATGAAAAAGCGAAGAAACCTCTATCAGTAACTTTAAGTAGAACGATCGAGTTCCCTTCCATTGCCTTGAGGCGATCATGTTTCCGATTTACTTTTGAGATAGTTGAATTATTACTTTAAGGGTCCTAAAAGCCAAGTTATGTTATAAAAAGACATAAAAATAGAACTAGCTATCAACGTAGCAACGAAACGAAATTATAAAATCCAATATTTAGTTTCGATTTATTTTTCATACATTGGAAATTTTTGTCCAATTACAGGGGATTGTCATTGAAAAATTGAAAGATTTAATGTAATACCTTCAAACTAATTACATGAACGTCACTTTCAAATCGTTTTTGCTAATCTGCTAGTTGTTATTTATGGTCAGCGTCAATTCAAGCTCAATCTATATGACATAGTTGATTTAGGTTTATTTGTGATGGCTTCCAGTATGGGCACCGTATTTAGTTCCTGTATTATCATAGAACGCATGATTATATCAAAGCTCGATGAATGAATAAATCTGATGAATTTCATCTGTTTATGGTAAATACATTTGCAAGGCACAGTAACAAAAAGAACAACTTCAAATTTAATAACCAATTAAAATAAGTTTCTGTGAGATTACCTTCGTAACATTTAGCTTCAATGATATCATATGTAAAAATGGAACATATTAAATTAAGGTTATAGAGATGAAACAAAAAAAAAACCTGCTCGGATGCATTAAACTTCATTTGTCAATGCGCAGTTTTTGATATAAAGGTAATTCTCATTATGTCACTGAGGCAGTAAATATGACGTCATACTTAAATTTTTAATGGAAATCTCAGATTGATTCCGTGATTTGGAAGATCGAGAAATTATTCATTGAAGATGATTGGAGTTCTCACAAGTTACATAATTTCTTTAAAAAAACCATTCTTCTGTTGTCAGTACTTTCTTTTAAAAATACATTTTGCTTTCTTTTAACAACGGCAAACAAGTTCAGTTTCTGTTACTATCGTGAAAAATACCAAATGCTGCCTGCAGTGGATTAAGTTTAGTTGTATTTTGATTGCTTTCAAAAAAAAATGATGCGTTTAAGTGAAACGATGAGCGAATGCGTTAAAGTTTAAAAAGCTGAAATTTTCATAGTGATCAGTTGTGGAGATATGATCCAGGCACAAAATCACATGAATTGTTTAATGATGTTTAAGATGCATGGCAAATTTGGGACCTTTAATCATGTATAAGATAGTCTAAACCAGGGCGTTTGGCAGTCTCTGAAGAAAAAATCAGGACATCAGGTTTTAATCACAGTGGAAGAAAACACCTTCAATCGCGTATACAGACAGAATGCAGCGGGGATAAGAAAATCGTGGGTTTTCAGCTCTCAAGCTCTCAAGCGGAACACTGAACAAGTGCGAGCCATACAAAGTTTAATTGGTAGAAAACTTAATGCGGATTATTTTGATGGAAAAGTCTAATTTCTAATAAAAAGTCATAACGACCTGCAATTTTTGAATTGCGTAGTTTTTACGGTTGAAGTAACTGTATCTTTCAAAGATTCTCTTTACGAGCAGAACTGTAGATGTTGGACATCTAAACGTTTACACTTGATAGTGCGATCGCATACATAACGGTCGCAGAAAGTCATTGTACAAGGCGGGATGGTAGGTATTTTGAATAATTGGCCTGGTTTTGTCAAAGGTATACTAAATGGCGCCAATTATTTACAATTATTGCAAGATACTACCATACCGGGAAAAGCTGGATTGCATGTAAGTCGGGAGCACCTCGTCTTTGGCAATGATCGTCTATGGTTTCAACTAAGGATTGAGTCAGAAAAATCGCTAGACACAAAAACCGTTCTAACTCTTCACAAAAGCAAAACTCAAAATTCCAATCATAGGAGGTTCTTCCTTAGATCCTCTAAATGATTTTGACATATTAAGCATCGAACTGTACATATGTTTTGGTAGAGAAATTACATCTGAATTAGAAGTGCGTGAATTAATAATTATAATTTTTTATGAAAATCCATTGTGGACCCACCGAAAAATATCCACAGAGGTACAAGTTCATAGATCGACCGTACCAAACGTTATTAAGCTGTTCAGGCAAACATTCAATGTTAACCGAAAAGTAAGTTCGAGTAGGAAAAGTGGATGTACAATGTACACGCCCACAAACAGTGAAGAAACTTGTCGAGAAATTGGAGAAAATTGCTATTGAAAAATTGCTCCTCGATATTTTCAGATCATTCCCGAGCGATTCCAATATTTATCTAAGTTACCTCCCGTTAGAGCCATATTTGAAAAATTTCGTCGTCACTCTCCTGGCCTAACATGAAAATTAATACATCTCGATTTTTAGAAGGTGAAAACTGCAAAAGTAGTGCGGTTGTGCAATATTATGTAAAATAATA